GTGTAGGTAGTATTCTACAATAAACTGTCGTGGTTTTTGTCTGAACTACCTGAAAAAGATATCTCAAACGTGGTGGTCCAGTGTAGGTAGTATTCTACAATAAACTGTCGTGGTTTGTGTCTGAACTACCTGAAAAAGATATCTCAAACGTGGTGGTCCAGTGTAGGTAGTATTCTACAATAAGCTGTCGTGGTTTGTGTCTGAACTACCTGAAAAGATATCTCAAACGTGGTGGTCCAGTGTAGGTAGTATTCTACAATAAACTGTCGTGGTTTTTGTCTGAACTACCTGAAAAAGATCTCAAACGTGGTGGTCCAGTGTAGGTAGTATTCTACAATAAGCTGTCGTGGTTTGTGTCTGAACTACCTGAAATAGATATCTCAAACGTGGTGGTCCAGTGTAGGTAGTATTCTACAATAAGCTGTCGTGGTTTTTGTCTGAACTACACGCGTAAAAATTTCACATCTTGTAGCAAGTCTGCCAACAAGCCGTCAACAAGTAGTTTTCGCTCTGCTTGTTGGGAGTTGTCAAGTTCGGAACAAGCTGTTAACAATTTGTAACAACCTTGTTGATATTATCAGACTTGTTGCAAGGTTGTTCCAACAAGTCCTATACAATCATGACGTAACAATATTGTTACAACCTTGTGTGATCAACCTTGTAACATTCTTGTTATATCATGAATGTATCGTACTTGTTATAGAACAACCTTGTAACAAGTCTGATAATGCCATGACGCTAATTTTTTATCTGGAGAGTAAGCGATCAATATGGGTCCAAAATGGTTGCTGTCTGATATTTAGAAATGATTAAAAACATATCTATATAGTGAATTCTTATTCAAAAACGGAGTCAGAAAAATTGTCTAATGACCACGTCGAATAAATATCGTCAAAATTCCCTGACGTCTCTTCGCAACTCATGCAACTGCTTGAGAAACTCGCTGTACTCGACCGTTCCATGAAGCCACTGTCAGTTGGACTGGTAACTAGACTGTGACGTAAAGTGGCCATACTCGTTCCCAGGGATTCTCGGCTAGGATGCGAGGTACTTTGCGACAGGTCGCCACTGGTATTTTCATTCGTAAGTAGAGATTCTAACAGTGTCGGTTGATATTGGCCAGGGTTGTAACTCGTGATATTGCCCAGGTTGCAGGGTGATAATTCTGGAATACAACCCGGGTAACCAGAGGTATCTAAGCCCGATAAATAACCTGCAATATCCTCTATGACATGATACGGCTCAAACACTGGATATAGCTCATTCGTCCTTTCGTTTTTAAATTGGTTGACAGATTGAAGTTCTACGATAGGGCTATTTCTCTTATCGTGGTGGCTTTGATGGTAGAATTGATTGAAAACCTCTGGTGAAAAGCTGTTTAAATAATTTAAGCTCGTATTCCATTTTGAGCATGTTCTATTCGATGATTCTGAATTCCAATCGTTGGTCATTCCAATCGTTATGCCCGACGGGTTATTGGACCACGAGTAAAATTTTGGGGTGTTTTTCCCGGGTGAGAATTGGTCGGAATTCAGGATTTGGGTATTTTGGACGACTGGTTCGAAGATCGCTTCTCTTTGCTCTACCTTGAAAAATTTGATAGTCTGTCATTAATTGGGTGTAATTAAATAATTTAATCAGGAAAGATTAAGTAATTAAAGACTGCTACAAGTTGTTCCAACAAGACTAATACAGGCTGTTCGTAACAAGTTGCTACGAGCTTGTTGTCATCAACTTGTTAACAACTTGTTACGTGCAGACGATATCAGACTTGTTGGAACAACTTGTTGCGAGTCTGTTGGCCTCATCAACCTTGTTACAAGATGATAACAACTTACAGGTCTGAAAACAAGTTGTTACAAATCTGTTCACAAGTTGTCAACAAGTTGTGTTCGCACTGCTTGTTCCCAGTTGTTGTAACAAGTTTGGAACAAGCTTGATGGCATTATCAGACTTGTTACAAGGTTGTTCTATAACAAGTCTGATACAGTCATGATATAACAAGAATGTTACAAGGTTGACGACACAAGGTTGTAACAATATTGTTATATCATGACTGTGTCGGACTTGTTAGAAAAACCTTGCAACAAGTCTGATAATATCAACAAGGTTGCTACAAGCTGTTAACAGCTTGTTCCAAACTTGTTGCCAACTTGGGACAAGCAGTGCGAACACAACTTGTTGACGGCTTGTTGGCAGACTTGCTACAATATGTGAGATTTTCACATGTGTAGTGTATAAACGATTTCGCAAAATAGACTAAGTTCTTACCATTTCTCCAACGTTGTTTGTTGTGTTATTAATCTTGAAAACCCGTACTGGGAACTCAAAATATTTTTCCTTGTAATTGTCGGTCACTTCCACAAAATTAGTCGATCGTAAGTTCATTCTGAAATTTGTTTTCGATTGTTTTTCGGAATCAGTGCTTCGGTTCCTCCACGTTCGACGACCTTCGCTTTTCCACAGCTATTTATAATAAATATAATAATAATTTTTAAAGTACTATTTAAAACATGAGCAGCCAATCTTTATCTGATATACAAACTCGAACCGAAGGCGAGAGTTTGTATATCAGATAAAGATCGAATGCGAATGTTTTAGCGTGCTTAAAAAACGACCCATCTTATGAGTTCATTGGCGAAGTAATGTTAAAAATAAACATTGTCTAAGCCGAGAAAATCAAAGCTGAAGTTTATGTAAATCAGGACAAATGTTTATCCGATTTACAAACATTGATTTAACATTCATTTCTCTTGAGGAAAATACAAATTTTCCTCATGAATTATTAATGAGCTTTTTAATCACAATTATTTATTTTCACACATAAAAACGCACAAGTTGTAACAAACCTGCAGCAGACTTGTAGCAATTCTGTTCCAACAACTTGTCAACAGGATGTGTTCGCACTGCTTGTTCCCAGCTTGTTGACAACTTGCTACAAGGTTGCTGAGCTCAACAGACTTGTTATCGTCACAGAATAGGAAGTTATACCAGAAGCGTAACTCGAGCAAATATTTGTCCGCGTTTTTACAAGCGATTCGTCATCAATCACGCCATCCTGGCTAGTACAGCCGGCACTTTGTACCTACCAAATCCTGATAAAAACTTCCGGCTGTACTAGCCAGGATGGCGTGGCCTGACGTGAGCGAGTTAAAAATTTTCGTGGACGTCAAACAATAAGGGAAACGACTAGAGTTACGCTTCTGGTATAACTTCCCATTCTGTGTTATCGTCCTGCAATTCAACAACTTGTCAACAAGTTGCGAGTGACAACCTTGTAGCAACTTGATGAAATAACAGCATTGTTACAACTTGTTGACAAGCTTGCTACAAGCCTGTTGCGAACACATCTTGTTGACAAGCTGTACGGTTTTTATAATGTGTATAATTGCATATCGCATTTCCTGACCATGGCTAAAATTATGCAGCAACACACAACTCATTATTATCATAAACTGCATCAAACCTTAAACAAGCCTGCACATTCTTCTGTCCACAAAGGAGACTTCGCATGGACCCATCGCACGGCAAAAATTTTGGCGTTCTCATCTAGCCAATAAGCGTTTTTGGGCGAGCGGCGTTCATCGAGCACTTCTAAAAGCCATTCCAGGAAACACCGTTCACGTTGTTGTCTTCGACGCATTCTAGAAACAAAGTTTGATGAATATTAAATTGTCAATTGATATCAAACCCAAACTAAACTAACTTTATTCCTCTGTCAGTTCTAAACTGTTCTTCCTAGAGGTCCAATAAGAGTCATCTCTTATTGATCCAGTGTTACTACAGGAGGAAACCTAAACTAAGCTAACTTTATTTATACTTGATAGCTCTATATCAGTTCTAAACTGTTCTTCCTAGAAGTCCAGTAAGAATCATCTCTTATTGATCCAGTGTTACTAATCTGCCAATGAAATCATTAATTATCCTTGAAGTACAATATCATATTATATTTTATTTATGTTTTCTAGGTCGACTAATTCTTCGAAAATTGGTTGTGCAAGGGCTTTTCCTTTGACAAGTAATAATGTTGCGTCAATGATTTGAGAACGAGGTAAACATAAATATACTACCCGGACATATACGTTCATTGACAAAGGGGAATCCCTAATAAGATTATCCTTGGGTGTCTCGTGAAGACACTTGTCTCAATTATTCTGCAATTTTACGCGGCACGCTTTCACAGAATGCAAGCAGGATGCCAAAGGAGTAATGCAACCCATGGACAATGACTCGTCAACGTGGGACGCTTGAGTATCGCAAGGTTAAGGAGCCACATGAGGGCATAGGCATCTCTGTGACCGAGTTTTGATTCCTGCAATATACACTTGTTTCATTATAATTTCACCTCAGTCACACGTGAGGAAAGGGCTTTCGATTTGAAACACCTCACGAACCGCGGTGTCCAACGAAGGTAGATCTTCATTGGACATCAAATTCCTGACATGAAAAGCCATCCAGTGTAAATATTATACGCTCAAGTTTAAGGTTTCTTAATGTAGTAACATTAACTCAAAAAGCCCATCAAGTAGCCCTCGATAGGCATGCTTTATTTCGCCTTCAAAGAGAGACTTTTTGAAATGATACAGCTATATCCAGCATGAATAAATTATCGATGTATGCATACATGCATTGGCAATAATACCAAGAAACACGCGTGCAATTCATAGAATTCGTCTTATATTTTTCTAGCCTTTCAAAATTGTTGATATTTCGATAGCGAAGTCTATGCAATCTACCGATAAATTTCGATGCTTCACACAAGTTAAACTTGGATGATAACTTCTTTAATATTAGACATTTAATGTATGCCAATTTGGTTGCACACTGGCATATAGCCTTATAGGAATACCGCGCGAGCGATGATATTGGCTATTGCAAGGTAAACAGACATAAACTAACAATCTAATATCTAAGTTAGTTTAGTTTAGGTTTCCTCCTGTTACCAACAATAGATTATATTCCTGGACCCCTAGAGAGAAAAGCTTAGAACTGATAGAGCTATCCAGTATAAATAAAGTTAGTTCAGTTTAGGTTTCCGCCTGTAGTAACACTGGATCAATAAGAGACGATCCTTACTGGACCTCTAGGGAGAACAGTTTCGAACTGATAGAGCTACCAAGTATAAATAAAGTTAGTTTAGTTTAACTTTCCTCCTGTAGTAGCACTGGATCAATAAGAGATGATCCTTACTGGACCTCTTGGGAGAACAGTTTAGAACTGATAGAGCTATCCAGTATAAATAAAGTTAGTTTAGTTTAAGTTTCCTCCTGTAGTAGCATTGGATCAATAAGAGATGAATGAGCCTTACTGGACTTCTAGGGAGAACAGTTTCGAACTTATACAGCTACCCAGTATAAATAAAGTTAGTTTAGTTCGCTTTAAAGTTTTCTTACCTGAATCAGTTAGGCCGCAGAGTGTTTGTCAGTATGATATAAAATTCTACGACTTGCAACGCCGATTTGTATACCAAGAACTGTGCAATTCAATTTTTAGAATCGAACTTGCAACTCTGGCGAACACCACTTGCTAGAATTGCAACTCAAAGAGACCTGATGGTATTGGAATGTCCTATATATATATGCCCTTGTTTGAATATTCAAATAATGCGGGGTTTACTCAGATTGTATTCCGGTCATGCGCCAAATGTAATTAATACACTATTTTAGCTGAACTTGTAATGTCTTTAATACAATAACACACAGCCCACGCATCAAGTATGCCCCACCCTGCTTAAACAGGGTTGTAGCATCATGTCAAGGAATGCATATTTGTTATTTACATCAACTTATTTCATTATGACAGGAAGGTGTTTCTTGGAACGGTCTTTCCCTAGAACGAAAATGAAATCTGAATCTATTATCAAAATGAAATTTCGATTCGATTATTGTGGGCTTGCAAAACGCAATCATGCAAAGCTGCGCTGGAATTTGTAGCAAATTGATATTGTGAACTGTCATAGTTTGTGTCTCAATTACCTAGAAACACTTTAGCGTTAGCGGGCCGTTTGTCAGACGTTACCGCTCTAACTATTGATGCGCATGCCACGACAGTTTATTGTAGAATACTACCTATACTGTACCACCACGTTTGCGATATCTTTCTCAGGTAGTTCAGTCACAAACCACGACAGCTTATTGTGGATCACTACCAACACTGGACCACCACGTTTGAGATATCTTCTTCAGGTAGTTCAGACACAAACCACGACAGCTTATTGTAGAATACTACCTACACTGAACCACCCCGTTTAAACTTGTAAGGGATTTTACCAAACAGACTATATTCTGGAACATATGAATTTAGCGATAAGGCTATTAAATGTCTTTTTATGAAACTGATACGCCCTGGGAAGGCAGTAGTTTTGTTGCTGCAGGAAACCTAAACCAACTTTATTATTTATACTGGATAGTTTAAGAGTCCGCATCTCCTATCGATGCAGCGTTACAACAGAAGGAAACCTAAACTAAACTATCTTTTATTATACTGGATATTTAGCTGTATAAGTTCTAAACTGTTCTTCCTGGAGGTCCAGTAAGAGTCATCTCTTATTGATCCAGTGATATTACAGGAGGAAACCTAAACTAAACTATCTCTTTTTATACTTGATTGCTTTATCAGTTCTAAACTGTTCTTCCTAGAGGTCCAGTAAGGATCATCTCTTATCGATCCAGTGTTACTACAGGAGGAAACCTAAACTAACTTTATTAATACTGGATAGCTTTATCAGTTCTAAACTGTTCTCCCAAGAGGTCCAGAGGTCTATTTGTTCTCTCCCAAAGTGTTTATGCGTGTTTCACATAGCAATCACAGTGTGGTGGTTTAAACCATGGTTTAAACGGACGAACTCTCGTGACCAATCGGTAATTGTTTTATCGTCTTAATTACATAGTGAATACAATTGGATGGTAATTAATAGACAGTGTGTGTTGATGCGATTACAGCTTCAATATACTATACACCCGGGGTCACATGATAAAGTTGGCTATCTGTTTGCTACCGGAATCAGTAATCTATCCATCATAACTTGTTTACAGATTTACTGACTTTGACATTGATTAGTACATGGTAGATTAGTCTTTCATCTCTGTGATTGCATGGGATTTTATTTATGCAGTTGTGTGATTATAATCGCACTTCAGTTACATTTGAGAAGAATGCTTCCAGTTTGACTCAACCAAACGTCTCAGGGTTTCTTCCGGTATTGTCCGGTTTCCTCCCGTAGCTAGTAACACTTGATAACTCTATTATATCCAGATTGTTGTCCCCCAAATCGTTGCAGACTGTGATCCAGTGTTACTACAAGAAGAAACCTAAACTGTAAACTCACTAGCTTTATTTATACTGGATAGCTCTATCAGCTATAAACTGTTCTCCCTATATGTATGTCCAATAAGAGTCATTTCGTGTTGATCCAGTGTTACTATATAGGAGGAAACCTAAATTAAACTAACTTTATTTACACTGGATAGCTCTACCAGTTCTAAACTGTTCTCCCTAGAGGTCCAGTAAGAGTTGTCTCTTATTGATCCGGTGTTACTACAGGAGGAAACTTAAACTAAACTAACTTTAATTATACTGGATAGCTTTATCAGTTCTAAGCTGTTCTTCCTAGAGGTCCAGTAAGAATGATCTCTTATTGATCCAGTGTTACTACAGGAGGAAACCTAAACTAAACTAACTTTATTTATACTGGATAGCTTTATCAGTTCTAAGCTGTTCTTCCTAGAGGTCCAGTAAGAATCATCTCTTATTGATCCAGTGTTACTACAGGAGGAAACCTAAACTAAACCAACTTTATTTATACTGGATAGCTTTATCAGTTCTAAACTGTTCTCCCTAGAGGTCCAGTAAGGATCATCTCTTATTGATCCAGTGTTACTACAGGAGGAAACCTAAACTAAACTAACTTTATTTATACTGGATAGCTCTATCAGTTCTAAACTGTTCTTCCTAGAGGTCTAGTATGTATCATCTGTTATTGATCCAGTATTACTCAAGGAGGAAACCTAAACTAAACTAACCTTATTTATACTGGATAGCTTTATCAGGTCTAAACTGTTCTTCCTATAGAGGTTCAGTGAGAATAATCTCTTATTGATCCAGTGTTACTACAGGAGGAAACCTAAACCAAACTAACTTTATACTGCATTGCTCTATCAGTTCTAAACTGTTCTTCCTAGATCGAGGTTCAGGGAGAATTATCTCTTATTGATCCAGTGTTACTACAGGAGGAAATCTAAACTAAACTGCCTTTATTTATACTGGATAGCTCTATCAGTTCTAAACTGTTCTTCCTAGAGGTCCAGTAAGGATCATCTCTTATTGATCCAGTGTTACTACAGGAGGAAACATAAACTAAACTAACTTTATTTATACTGGAAAGCTCTATCAGTTCTAAACTGTTCTTCCTAGAGGTCCAACAAGGATCATCTGTTATTGATCCAGTGTTACTACAGGAGGAAACCTAAACTAAACTAACTTTATTTATACTGGATAGCTCTATCAGTTCTAAACTGTTCTCCCTAGATTGATCCAGTGTTACTACAGGAGGAACCTAAACTAAACTAACTTTATTTATACTGGATAGCTCCATCAGTTCTAAACTGTTCTTCCTAGAGGTCTAGTAAGAGTCGTCTCTTATTGATCCAGTGTTACTACAGGAAGAGACCGGAATGCCAAGAGGACACTTGTGCACTCCGGTGTTTTGTGCAATCAAACTGGGTAGAAGCATTCTTCTCACATGTGACTGAGATGAAATAAAAATGCAGGAATCGAAAGTTAGGCTTAGCCGCAGAAGTGAAAACCACTAATGCAATGATTGCAACCAATCTGCACATTATCCCCGTTGCAGCTCTGTTGCAGTTTCCCTGTCGCGTAGTATCAGGCTAAAATAATGCCATTTTTAATTTGATATAATTGATAGCCATTGTGGTCATTGTCTCTCCCAGTCATGACTTCATTCTTATAATAGTATACCGCATAGACTGGCAATTTTATAAACAACAATGATCAACAAGCCGTATAATGTTTGTATTAAAAGTTGACACATTTTGCATTTTTGCATGGAAAACGAATTCTCTCGAATAATTCCATTGGGCCCCCCGCTGTCGCGTGAGAATGCCACCATGATCAAGTAATTTTCTACTTGTCTGGTGTGGAAATCACTTGGAGAAGATCATCCAATATATATAGTCTACCTGAGTACAAATCCCACCATGATCAAGTAGTTTTCTACTTGTCTGGTGTGGACATCACTTGGAGAACATCATCCAATATATATATAATCTACCTGAGTACAAATCCCACCATGATCAAGTAGCTTTCTACTTGTCTGGTGTGGACATCACTTGGAGTACATCATCTGTATGATGTAACCATGCTTAACTCAGCAGTAAGTTCTGTACAACATCAGATCGCTTTAGAGTAGCTCACATTCAAGAATATCTACTATACCTCTGTGTGATCTAATCATGCTTAACTCAGCAGTGAGTTCTGTACAACATCAGATCACTTTAGGGTGGCTCACATTGAAGAGCCTGTAATTTTGAGGGACATTTGCAAGGGAAATTCAGCGTTTGAGAAACACTAATCTCTCTTCCTCTTTATTGTTCGACTTGATCTTAAAATAAATTTAATGGTCCTCTA